CATGACCTCATCCATCAACCTGTCCATCACCATAACAAGCAAGAAGGGGCTGAGAGCAGATCAGTGATGTAAACACTCGAACCTTCAACCTATCTGTCAACACACCTCACCACTGTCTCATTATTCTCCCATATTTCTCTGCCACTCCGGACATCTTCATGCGCCACACACCCTATCATATGCCTTTTCTAGATCCACAAAGACATAGTGAAGCTCCTCCACACTTTATTTATATGTCTCCATCAACACTCTCAAAGCAAAGATCATATCTGTGTTTCTCTTTCTCAGCATGAAGCCATACTGCTGCTCACTGATCATCGCCTCTCCTTTTTAAATCTAGCTTCAACAACTCTATCACATCTTCATGGTATGGCTCATCAACGTTATCCTTCAGTAGTTACTACAGCTCTGCACATCTTTCTTATTTCGTTTTCTGGTTCTTCCGGCACCGTCACCGGAGAAGGAGACGTTGCAGACCATCTCTCCCTTCTGTAATCATTGGAAATGTGTGAGACTTGCTGTTCATGGGCTTGAATCAAAAACAATCTTGCCTGCTGCCAAGATAAAAGTGTTTTGGATGGTTGAGGTCATGGTGGGTACTTATCTTGTTATTCAACATGATCATATTACTTCAGGATCACAGATAATCTAACTCCAGCAGAAGTACCCAGTTCCAGGGGAGTATTAGGAAAAATGTGCTATTCACACTTCTTATATGAATGTCCCCTCACCTTGACTGCAATGTGCAGATGTTTCCATTCATCACAGAGTTTCTCAAACTGAATCCTGTTGGTCTGACTGGAGGAGACCAGAGTCTCAAGTGCCATGACCTGGGCTTCATAGTCTTCTACATCCTTTAGGATGACCTGGAGACACAAAAGCAAGTGTGCACATGAAAAATAAATAAATGAATAAAATTTTGTACACATCTAAACTTCAACTGAAGTGAACTTCAGTTTCACTAAGGGAAGAGGTACAGGCAAGATCAGACATTCACAGTTTGAAACATTCAAGATAACCAAAAGACTAATCACCTTTTCATAAAGCCCTCCAGCAGTACACAACAAAATTTATCAGCCTTTGTAACAACTGGTCACATAAAATAATGCAATTATTGACTATTTAAAGATGCATTATAAGAATCCAGCTGCTCTTATAGTCTCTTGGTTCATCATGTTGAATGCTTAACATATGGAAACTACAGTGTTGCTTCATTACAGTCCTCGCCCTGAGAGACAAGCACTACATCATTCTCCTTAGTAATACTGGGATTTTGATGAAACAGTGTACAGCTTCACTGAACTGAAATACAGCGTGTCATAATAACAGTACTTCACTAACACACAGGAGTGACTGTAAATAATATTAAGTGTCTTATATATATTGTACAGATCAACTGTTAGAAAGAGATGTTAGGTTTTCATCAAATAATTTGTAGTAATGCAGCTGTCCTCTGAGAAATCCAGCAGTTTCTATCACAACAGTTACATTAACACTATTTCTCCTGCCTTTTATTTATCTGAATTGTTGATGTTTTCAGAGA